ACCTCTGGAGAACCATCTGCTGCCCTACTTTGAGAGAGCACCTGCATTTTTTCAGTGTGCCTACAGTGCACAGAAGCTACTTCAAGCACAGACTAGGCATGCCTCATGTTAAGGCCTTCCTGAATCTTAATTTCCCTTGAAAACTCAGCAACTCATTCTTGGGTTTCAAGTAATAATGCTATGTTGATAAAATAATTCCCAGGTCCCCAACTTCTGGCTAGCTCATCCTTTCCCACTTGGATGTCGTGCTATTATTTCAAACTTAACATGTGTAGAACTGAATACCTCCTGTCCTCCCAAAATTGGTTTTGTGCTTCAGGGAAATGGTCTAAGAACTAGAACAGTGGCTGCATAATGGAATCGCCTCAACACTCTAAGAAAATACTGATCTGAGGCTTCAGAGAACTGGAATCTCTATGGGTGCAGCACAAAGCCTTTGAAAATTCCCCATGTGGGTGCAGCCAGATGGAGAATCATGGAGCAGCCTAAAGCAAGCAATTTGAACTACTACTCCCAAGCCCTCTGCTCATGGTAGATACCACTAATCAATTTCTTTACTCTGGAGGCTAGAAGCAGTCCCAGTATCCTTTCACCACGTCCACCATAAAATCAATCAGACCTGGCTTGAGAGAGGAAACATATCTGCCATCTTGGATTAGTAGGAAACAGCATAAGGATCTAGTATCTTATACTTTAGAATCCAGCCTACAAGAAAATGATTAGACTAAATGTGACCCAAGCCTCAATAAGGCTCAAATAAATGTTTGTTTTCTCGAGTCTTGGTTTAATGAGGTATCAAGGAGAAAAATGTTCTCATTTGGCTTAGGTTCTCGGGACTTTGGTTTTCATTTTGCAAACCAGTTCTTGCTCCTAAAATGAAAAGGAAGGGGGTGGGGTGGGAAGCATTTTCATGTGTTCCTTTTTTTTTTCCCTGATTACCCCCAAAAGAGCTTTCAAATGATCTGCTAAGTATTAAAGTACTAAAGTCATAAACTAATTGCAAAAAATCGGCTTACTAGAATGACAGGAAAGACATTCCTTTGCCTTTCAAAGGCTTTCCCATCATTGGGAGCCAAAAATATTATCTTGTGACCTAAAAAGTCACTATAAACCTTGTTTCTGTAGGCTGAACAAGAGGGATGATTTTTGCCCTAAGGAAACCAGCAAAGAGAACAAACTTGTTCTTTCCACTCTCACTTCTGCCCTCTTTTTTTTTTTTTTTTTTTTTGTGGGACCTTCGCTGGTGGCCGGGTATTGAACCGGCGCTGCAGAGGCTGCGGGCAGCCTCGCCACCCAGCGCTCAACCTCTGCGCCACCAGCGGAGGCCCTTACTTCTGCCCTTTTCTACCTCTGCCACCCTCCACTTCCATGCACTTCCCTCCTCCCTTAGGGTGGCCTAAAATGCCCAGAATTGTCCCCATAGGCTTCCTTATCCCAAGAAAAATTCTCTTCTTTTCCCACTCCCCATCCAAATTCCAAATCCCAACTAGCTGCTAGACACAACCTCTAAGCAGTCTCAACATACACTGGCTCTCTGCAGATTGTTTATGTACAGAGGACTGTTTCCTTTCCACTTATTTAGGAGTCCAGGGAGTGAGAAAAGGCTGCCCAATGGGGGCACAAAAAGGAAAGCTGGCAGTAAAATCTCTGCATAACTAGGGTATTTGCTGGACTGATGCACCAATAAAAAGTCAAATTAACAGCACTGTATTTTTTTGCTACTGATTCACTGAAAAGCTAAAAAACAAACAAAAAAGCTAAAATGGTAAGCTTCAGTTATGAAGATAATTCATAACAGATAATTCATAATTATCCACTAAACTGCAAGATAAATTTAAATGAGCTATTATATACTATATTTACATTTTAAAAGATGAGGCTTTTTGTCCCACATTAACCTCTAAATAGCAGACTGGTGGTGGAGGAGGTATATTATTAAGCCCTTTGTCAAGTCCCTGCCTCAAAAGACTTTAACACTCTGTGTCACCAAAAACCTCAAAGAGATCAATAAAGGACACGCATTCTTCTTAAAGTGTGATATAGTGAACCAGGCCTCTGTAGCCATCCTAAGGTTAAGAACAAAATAGGAGGTAAACGGAGGAGCTCACTACAAGGCCACACACCTCTGACTACATCTCTGCCTACAAAAACAAGAACATTCATCAACTCCCTCCCTTGGGACTCAGGAGGCTTCATCAGTAATCAATGATAGTAAAAATGTTTGTTATTTATAAGGTCCAATAACATACTGTGTCAGTGTGGACAGAGCTCAAGTGCACAGGGATTATATTTTTAGAGTGTGATACAACTTTGGGTAGAAAAACTTCAATCATGGTCTCTTTCTCAAAACACCATAAGATATGGAGATGGACAGCACAATCCAGAGGCCACAAGCCTGTCCATGTTCACCAAGGTTTCCTCTACTCTCACTGGCTGTTCCTCCCCTGCCTGTTCCCTAAATGTTAGAGCTCCTCAAGGCTTCCGTCTATACCTTCTTCTCATTATTTTTCCTCTTCTCGTTTTACTCCATAATATCTTCTTAGAAGACTTCACCTCCCACTACTTCAGTTAACTCCCAAATACTGACCAACACTCAGTCTATACGCTCCTCCTGCTATAGACTGAAATACCCTACCGCTCATTTGATAGAACTACCTGGGTATTTTAAAGCCACCTATTTAAAAGTGAATTCAGCATGTTCCTTCTCCATCTCCAGCCAAAGACTTCTCCTTTATTAGGGTTTCCCACTGGGTTAGTAAATCCCTAGCAACCTCCCAGCTACATAAGTTGGCAAAGGATCTATGGGACATAGTCATGTCCAAGATATATGGATCTCCAGAAGACAGTGTATACTGTTTAGTGAAGAGAGAAGTGAGTATAACCATGTTTAATAGCATGCTATGTTTTGTGTATCGCAGGGTGACTAGGAATACATATGTACATGCACACCACACCCACATATGCATTTTCTAATGTCTTATAAAGAAACAAAAAAAGGATAAATCAAAGTAATAAAAATGATTACCTATGCGGGGGAGGGCAGAGGGAATAAGAGAGAATACTGAGATTAAAGGCAACTTCTGTGGCTATCTTATTACATACTTTTGACTTTGGGACATGTACTTAAATGCTTTACATAAATTTCAAGTTAAATCCAAAAGGAAAAAAAATCTCTAAAAATTAAAAACAAACTGAAGCAATTAACTATTTGTCAAGAACGAGTACGCCTATATGAAGAAAAGAATTACTAAATGAATGCGAGGCTGCCCGCAGCCTCTGCAGTGCCGGTTTATTCCCCGGCCACTGGCAAGGGTCCCACAAAAAAAAAAAAAAAAAAAAAAAGAATTACTAAATGCAGCACTTTGATCAAACATTCCCACTGGGACATATGCTAACAAATGAAACCTACATTTTATTCTAAGTTGTTAGTAGTAAAGATCAATATAACTATTTATAAATTATAATAAGTCTATTGTAGGTGCACAGGGTAGAATTTTCTAAGACATTCTTAGAAAAGTCCTGCTTACAAGGTTGGCCCTGGGCCAGCATCTGGGAAATTGGATTTTGGGTGGTTCCCACAATTCCCAGACTTGATAAAAATGTATTACTGTGCCTAAACTGTTTGTGCAAACAATATGATTAATGCTGAATACCTGCTTTCCTTCCGGAAGCCTGGGATTCTGGTCTGAGCTAGGTAGATGTTACATAAATGTCCCCAATAAAAAACCCTAGACAGTGAGTCTCTAACGAGCTTCCCTAGCAGACAAACTCTCACACAACTTGGTGCAGCTACAATTGAGATCATTTGAACATTAGGAAAAAAACTAAAATTAATATCAAGTATAAAAAATACATATTAAAAATGCTATGAAAATCAAAGTTTTGTTGATCCCTGTTGGAGTTTGTTGGAGTCCAAACTCCTTACACTAAAAATTGATCAACAAGGGGAAAGAACCAAACATTTATCCTGCCTTTTAGTATGAACAGCATTTCAGAGTAACCATACAGACGAGAGGAAAGTCTTCACTGGATAATTCCAGTTAATAAATGCAGAAGAAAATAATGGATCTAATAATGATAAATGCTAAAACCATGTAGGTAAAATGTTAATGGGATTTTATAATGGAGGAAGCACTTAATACCACTTCAGTCCACTAACCAATCCTAGAATCTCTAAATGTGTGATAACCAGACACCATGCGCATGTTGAGGAGATACAACAGAAAGTATATAGCACCAGCTACAAGTTCTCACCAAATAACCAGATCTGAATTGAATCTAGCTCCTAGATCAAATCTCCTGTTGGTAGAAAATATGGGGAAGAGAGAAACATGTTAAATGACACCACGAAAAGTAATCAGCCAAATCCTGGATGACCTGCTTTCTCTAACAAATCAATGTCATGAGAAAGGGAGGGTAGTGGAAGGGGAATAAAGAGACCCATAGAAATCAAGAGTAAACAATAGCCAAAAAAAAAAAAAAACCCCACAAAACATCTGATCACTCTCACATAAAGCCCACTCTTCTGCCTGCATTTCGCATGTCCCCTCATGGCCACAGTTACCTTCATTCAGTTCCTGGAATTATCCTTTCCTTTAGTCTTCCCTCAGTCCCTTGCATGTGCAGATCCATTTCCCTGGGGGAGGGAGAACAGCCCAGGCTCTACCCCAGGGTAAGATCTTACCATACCCTGTACTTTTCAAAGAAACATTTTTCTCATACCTGGCCTTCATCAAAGTCCTAGAAGCTATTTGAGGACAGATACCATATCTTTTGGCTGCACAGACATGCAGTAGGCACTAAATAAAAAATGGCATAACACACACATTAACAAAGTATTAGCCATGTGTTTCAATGCCACCAAGTAGGAATATGGGGCACGCTAAATCATTAAAGCCCAGTTGAGTCCCTGCTAATCTTCATTGCTATGCTATTTATTTTTATTACCTAGTACCCAGCCAGGAAGTCAGAGGAGCTGAGGTTCACAGGGATGGACTCACCGCCTCATGGGACTTGGGAAGGGGGACAATGATGGCCAGTACACAGATGAGCTGGAAGATGGCCCCCAGGAAGAGTCCATACCGTAGTAGGTTCTCCAGGAAAGTGGGTTCAGGCACCTCAGGAGGTGAGAAGTCTAGGTCGGAGGCCATGGTCCCAGGTGCCTGTTGCCTGAGGTTGCCTCTGGTTTACCACTCTCCAGAGCAAATTCTACCTACAAAGGGTAAGGTAAGTGTTATATTTATATAATTGAATTTTTAATGGCTCTACTTGCACAAACATACACATACATGCAAGAATATATAAAGAGATTGTAGTGAAATGTTAACAATTCTTGACTCTAAGTGAAAGATATATAGATCGCCACTGGACCATTCTTCAACACTTTGGTATGTTGGGAAATTTTCCAAATACAAAGTTAGGGAAAATAAATAAGTAAATGCAAACATTTCAACAAGAATCTCAAATCAACATACATTTACTGAAGGTCTCGGGTTTTGCTTCTCATCCATTCCCTCAACAAATACTTATCAAATACCAAGCACTGAACAGAGTGAGCAAAACAGACAAATCCCTGCTCTCCTGACATACACCTCAGGACAGAGACAGGCAATGCACACATCCAGATATGATTTGCTAGGTAGTGACAATTGTTTTGGAAAAAAAACTTAGGGGTGTCATTAATTTTGTATAGGGTGATAGGAAGGGCCTCATTGAAGTGACAGTGATATGAAGTGTGAGTGAGCCATTTGAACATCTGAGGGAAGCATATTTCAGCAGAGAGAAAAGCAAGTATAGCCCCAGGGCAGGAAATGACACCAAAAATTGCGAGAGAGAGTACTTGGAAGGGACAGATGAAGGAAGTGAGTTCAGAGTGGAGTAGGGGTACACTTTGTAGGACCCTGACAATTCCCCTTTGAGTAAAACATGAAGCATTGGAAGGTCCTGAGAAGTGATATGATCTGTTGTACATTATAAATGGGGGAAGGGGAGCCACCAGAGTGGACACAGCCAGAACAATCGAGGGACTACAGTTAGTAACCCAAATAAGAGAAGCAGAGACATGGACAACAGAGGCATAGTGACCAATGGTGGCATTGGACCTCAGTCCACTTCTCTAGCCTCTCCTTCTACTAGGCCCCCTGCCCCTCACACACTGGTCCAACAGAAAGAACTGCCTATAGTTCTCTAGAGCACTGGGATTTTTAAAAATTCTGGGCTTCTACACAAGTTGCACACTGTCAAGAATGTCATTGCCCACTTTTGACTTCTTGGTGAAGCCCTAACTCTAGCTCCAAGGCTGAGCTCAAGGGTCACCTCCCCAACATACCTTCTTTATTGCTCTCCTACCCTGGTATGATTGAACTGCTTGTCCTCTAACACAGCACCCACAAGTGGCTTTCTTCTGCCAGCCCTAATAAGAACGGGACTAACTTACCTAAGAACCAGACCCATATGATTATAAATCCTTTGTGTTTTCAGAGATCTGTGCCACAATGTAATTTTTGCTAAACCTGAGCTGTGTGATATGGTAGCTATGAGCCACATGTGGCTATTCAGAGTTGAAATACAGCTAGTACAAACTAAGATGGCTGTTAAGTTAAATACACACTCAATTTAGAACATAGTATGAAAATAAGAATGTTAAATGTCTCCCTATTGTTTCATATTGATTACATGTTGAAATGATACACTGGATAAATAGGTTGTGTTGGGGCCTCCGTGGTGGTACAAGCGGTTAAGTCTCAGTCAGTGCTATGAAGCTATTGGCAGTCACTGCAGCATGAGTTCAATGCCCGGCCAGGGAGCTAACCCACATGGTGCAGCAGACCTCTCTTGTCTCACCCACTACTCCCCTCAGTAGTGTATGTCACTCAATCCAGCTGTTCTGCTCCCCATTCTGTCTCTGGTGAATCCTCACATACACACACACCCCTCCACACCTCTGGCCTACACCCCAGCTCTTGTATATATAAATAAAATAAATCTTTAAAAAAATAAGTTATGTTATTAATTTCACCTGGCCTTGAAAAAGAACAAGGTTGAAGGTTCATTTTCTAATTTCAAAACTTACTACAAAGCTATAATAATCAAAACAGTATGGAATGCTTAAGGATCTAGGCCAATGGACAAGAACAGAGTCCAGAAATAAATTCTCAGATAGATAGATAGATAGATAGAGTCAATTGGTTTCTTTTTTTTTTTTTTTTTTAAGATTTATTTATTTATTTATACAAGCACTGGGTACAGTCAGAAGTGCAGAAGGGTGAGAGGATTCACCAGAGCCAGAGCGGGGAGCAGAGCAGGCAGAAGGACCCAAGTACACTGCTGAGGGGAGCAGCGGGCGGCAGGAGAGGTCTGCGCGCCATGTGGGACCCTCCTCCAGTGGCCGGGGAGCAGCCGGGGATTGAACCAGCGCTGCAGAGGCTGCAGGCAGCTTCGCAACCCAGTGATCAACCGCTGCGCCACCTGGGAGGCCCAGATAGAGTCAATTGGTTTCTGAACAAGGATGCCAGGGCCATTCAACAGAGGAAGACAGTCTTTTCAATAAATAATATTAGGAAAACTGAATATCTACATGTGGAAGAACAAAGATTGATCCTTACCTTATACCACTAAACTTAAGAGCTAAAACTGAGATAGGTGGGTGAGACAGACAGTTCTTGGTTGACAGTTGAGTGCACAAGAATGTCTGTGCAACACACTGGATCTGGCCTGCAGCCCACCCCAAACCAGTTTGAGCTGGTTGGAAACAGGAGCGCACTTAATCTGACCTAAAAAAATGACATTATAATACTAAATGACATACTTTCAGGCAGCCATGACAGGAAAGCCCAGATCATATAAAGGGGGGGAAAGGTGGCACCCCAATTCCAGGAAAAGTCCCTATTCTCCCCCCAAAAACAACTGAATATCCTGCCCCTACAATACAATCCCCCATAAATGTACCCAACACTGTGAACAAGGGGGCTGCCCTGCTTATGGGGTAGCCTGCTTCCTGTCTGTTTGGCTTAATAAACAGCTTTGTTTTTCTCTGAGACTCGTCTGATTTCTATCTTCATAAAGTTCAAGAACCCTCACTCCTGATAAGGAGGTCCTGGGCTCTCAGTGTCAACATTTAAAACTCATCAGAAGAAAACATAAGGGGAAATCTTTATGACATCAAACTTGGCATGATTTCTTGGATATGACACCCAAAGCACAGGTAACAAAAGGCAAACTAAATTGCGTTTCAGTAGAACTTGGAACTTTTGTGCATCAAAGGACACTATCAATAAGTGGAAAGACAAACTGGAAAGCAGTTTGGCAGTTTCTCAAAAAATTAAACATAGAATTACCATATGATCCAGCAATTCCACTCCCAGGTATACACTAAAAGAATTGAAAACAGGGACTCAAAAGAGACACTTGTACACCAGTGTTTACAGAAGTATTATTTTCAATAGCTAAAAGATGGAAATGTGATATACAGTCACATATTGCTTAATGACCAGGAGAGTTCTGAAAAATGAGTTAGGAAATTTCAGCAATGTTTGAACATCACAGAGTATTAATTACACAAACCTAGATGGTACAGCCTACTATACACCTACGCACTATGGTTTAGCCTACTGCAGTCACCATCACATGCAGTCCATCACTGATCAAAAGGTCCTTAAACTATACATGAGTGTACACATATAAAGGAGTATTATCCAGCTGTTAAAATGAATGAAATGCAGACACAGGCTACAACAAGGATGAATGCTGAAAACATTATGCTAAGGGAAATATGTCAGACACAAAAGGACAAATATTTTATGATCCCACTTATATGAAGTACCTAGAATAGGCAAATTCATAGAAATAGAAACTAGACTAGGTTACCAGGGAGAGGAAGAATGCGAAGTTACTGTTTCAGCTTGGGGTGATGAAAAAATTCTACAAATAGAAAGTGGCGATGATTATATAACACTGTGAATGCCACAGGTCCTCAAAATCTTTCCAACACCTTTCCTTTTGTTTCATTACAATGAAATGTTAGCGGGGAGGACCAGGTTTCATTATATATTGTTTCACTTAAAGTTGCAGTTTCCAGGAACTTATCAAGAATGTCAAGTGAGGAATTACTGTGCATATTTACAGTTGGTTATAATGGCAATATTTGTGTATATTTATTTTACTACAATGAAAAGAAATTTATCCTTTTCTTTTTACTTTTTTAATGTGGCAACTAGAAAAATTTAAATTTTACCCATGGCCTGCATCAGATTCCTCTGGCACAGCCCTAGCTAAACAAGCTGTCCTAAAGATCTTCCTCCAAACTGGCTCTGTGGCTTCAGAGCTTTGTACCATTTTTCCATAATGGAAGAATGACTACGTACAGGACCACAAAAATGACCTTCTACATAAACAGAGAAGGACTTACACAAATGCATATGTACCTTATACAAATGCATGTCTCCCTTTCAACCTAGTTTTGGAGGAAGGTATGTGCCTGTGCCTAGAGGGCGGCTACTTTTAGCACCACTTCTGTCTTCTTCAGGAGTGGACTTCAAAGTCTGCAGTCTTTTTTTTATTTTTTCAAAATCCTCAGAGCGGCAGTTATTCATCCTCTCAGGAAGGATTTGACTTCTGGAAAGGATCCAATCTAATTGGATCCAAGTGTGGTGAATCAGGTGGGGCCTGAAGCTCAGGAATACCATTTTTGGTCAAATACAAGGTATAATGCTCTGACACCAGGCAGATTGTTCGGGTGGCTCATAAACTGGCCCCAAATTGAATTCCTCAGGGATTGTGTGAATAACTTCACTTGAGAAAACATACATTCCCCAACCCCGACAGGGCACCACCAGATAAATCCCAAAGTTCTCTCATTTCTTCAGTTGCACTTCATAAATACACTTTTTTTTTAAGGCCTTTGGCCCCAAACTTTATGCTTCAGGTTGTAACAAGCCTACGGGGCTTGTCAATACTTAGATTTACTAATGTTACTAAGAGTAACATAGTTAGGAGTATTTGCAATACAATATAAATATGGGGCCAGGAGTCAGGAATGGGGGATGAGGTGGGAAGGGCTACAACTCTGAATCTATCAACAATTAGCTACACTTTGGTTCTCTTGACCTCTTAGAGACCATGTTCTCATGAGTCAAACAACAACAATAACCTGCAAAAAGCTATCGCTTTCAGGCTTTTTTTAAAAGGGCAATTAAGCAGAATGTAACAACAGCC